AGAGTGACGTGGCTAAGTCTTACGACTACCTCTCTGCATCTTCACCCCTTTTCCTTTTTCATCCGGGCTTTGACCGGCCAAAGCTGAGTTATTTTACCGACTGTTTTTAATCTATTTCTTATTCCCTCATCTAGAAAATATTTTGCGAACCCAGGTTGCTATGCAAATTGAAGCAGCTGCAGTCTACTGGTGATTTATATCCAGCGTTTTGCTTATTGTCCTAGCAATATCCAGTGCAACCGCTTTCTGACATTCTTAATCGAATTTCTGTAGTTTCTAGACGATAGAATGTCATCTTAATTTATTTCGGAACGAGGCCAATTGTAGAACTTTTCAAATGCTGATACTCTTTTTCAGATTGATAGTCAGATTTTCGTATTTTCCTATTTTCCCTGCCCATGTTTTCTGCACTTACTCATCTGGTGGAACAGCAACATCAATAGCCTTAGCTGGCGTGTACCTGCGATATAAGGTAAATACTTCTGAACGACTGATTTCAACGACACAATCTTTGAGTATGGAGTGTTCGAAACAAAGACTTCATTGGCCACCCTCAAACTCGTTCGCTGGGTAGTATTATTGCTATGGCGTCGTCTGTGAGATTATACTTCCTGTAAGTGTCTATTGTTGATGTGCGAATTTGTGATGCTGTAAGGCCGTCTGAGGTTCTCGATGTTAGCGAAAACAGCAATCTGTGACAGTATGTTGGATAGATATCGTTGTACTGCCGCACATCCTGTATTTATGCTCGATGTTTTCGTTCATGATGAATTTCGTATAATTCTTCACGAACACAATCTGTTCTTGTATTGCCACTACAAATTCTTGTTTTCTGAAACAATCCTTTTTCTTGAAGCCACTCAAGCGACCTTTTTCAGGTAAATTTGATTAGAGTGACAGCACGATAGCAAAGCCCCTGAAAAGTTTGCCTACTCCAGCCATCAAGTTCGCTTTTATACAGCTTTAGCGGCGTATATCTTTTTCTTCTGTTGATCTTCAATAGCTGAATTTAAACACGATTTCGTCGTCAAATTATGTTCCATAGGTATTTTTTCTCCTTTGTAGAATTTTTACGGGAAATGACACATTACTGTCTCTAGTGGCCATGAAAATGGCGAGAGTGAGAAGTATGAATTTAAGCTTCCCTGGACGACGAACGTAGAAGTTTAGAATTAGGAACAACAAAAGGGACTGAAGAAGTTGCAGACATGAAGGAAACAGGCTAGCCAGACAGTTGCAATGCCGAAATGACATGGACGGCAAACTGGTGGATAAACTCGAAAGCGCCTGTATTGCTTCATCTTCTTCATCTTCCATCGCCGCTTCTCCTTTCGGGTCGCGGAGGCATACACGTCAGACAGAGCTTCCAACGTTCCCGATCCTGTGCCAGAGTCTGAGCTTCGGCAAAAGACAAATGGAGTCTGGAACACACTTCTTCCATATGTTTGCACCAGGTTAAACTTGGCCGTCCCCTGGGCCTTCTGCCGGTCGGATTTGCAAAGAACAGTTGCCTAGCCTTCCTTTCTGGAGGCTTTCGCAACATATGCCCAAGCCATCGCAGCTGTAACTTCTCAATCTGGAGAAGCAAAGGCTGTATTCCAAGGCTCTTCCGG